CAGCGAGTGAGGTGTTTCCTCGATGTGTTTCCGGGATGTGGGTAGTTCGCACCGTGTTCGCCCGGCAGGTTCCCGGTTTCAGCGAACGATCATGTCTGGTAGTCCATTCTGTTCCTGTCCACCTCTCCCAGTGCCAGCTCCCCAGATGGACCCATAGCCGGCTCCATGACCCATCGTCCGTTCGGACGCGCGTGAGGCTGTTTTGCTGGAGAACCTGAACACAGCCGCTGAGCATACAACTGAACTTTGATCTGCAGGTAACAGTGGCAAATGTACTTTCCCCACATTCAAGGGTGTCCATTTGGCCGGACAGCCTTCCAAAGACCGATGAGTTTTGACCGGATCCGACTCAACCTGAGAGTGACCAACTGGGTTCAACACAAACCAGCCAAGCAAGGAAGCTTTCATTGCTGGCTTTGCTGGCTTTGAAATGTCCAGTCCACGCGCCAGATTTGGGGCAAGGCTGACGCCAAGAATGAAGACGTTTGAGATAAGACTTTGTGCCTACAAAGTCTCTGACACGGCCCAGTTGGTCATTCTAAAAAGAGAAGATGTATATGTTTCAATGATTTTGAATATATTTGGAGGGATCCCTGAATTTGAGACCACGTCCACAAAATCGGTCTTTGGAAGCGCAATCTGGGCTCTCTTTGTGTATCCCCGGGTTTGGTCGGAAACCACGACTGCCTGCGCCCAGATTCGCCGAGCCGATGGCTCCACAGACATGGAAGTGCTCCAGGAAGTCTCGCAACGAGCTCTACCAGCGCCTTGACATCCGAAGTCCTGTGACATCGAAGTACGACCGATGCGGGATCCCCGATCTCGTCAGGCCAGCACCGGGATCTCCACAAAAACTCGTTTGTGTAGAAACAAGGTCTCCAATCGAGAACACCGGTCTTTGGGGGGCAGAAATCGAAGGAAACCGCTACGGCAGGAAAGCCTATGGTGGGAAGGTCCGGTTCAATTCGGGGTGGCGTGCATGAAAACAACTATAACATATATATATATATATTTTTTTTTTTTTTGCCGAAGGCGGTTGCCTGTGACAGATCTCGAATTACGAATTAGATTGCAGGGTTCAACACCGTGTCTCTGCAACAATCCGGTCCCATTACCGCCTCCTCATTGAAATCAGCAACCAAATTCTGAACTGAGGAAACAAACCAAAGCGGCAACTCCTGTTCCGGACCCGAATCATCACAGCGTGACATGAATAGAGTAGCAAACGCTCTGCATAATCCATCTGGATATTCTTTCAGAGCTGTCGTTTGCCATTTCCCATCTACACCTCTACCAATACGGCCGCCCCTCGGCATAGCCGAAGTTCGGGAAAGGAAAAAGTGTCTCTCGACCTCTTCATACGTTCCACAGTTCGCAATCAGGAGGTCAGTCGCTTTAGGAGAGAGGCCCCCAAATAGACCTTGGAAAATCCTAAGCTTCACAGCCCGGAAATCTCAGTAGACAGCCAATGACTTCCAGATACCAAATCGACGGCAAGGACATGTCATCATCTGGACAGGCAGGATGTTCCAAGATCGCAAGTGCTCCAGTTATTAGGGCAATCAGGAAAAATCGAAGCGTAACTCCAAGTAACTGATTCCCAATGGAGACCTGCTCAGTCTCACGACGTGTCAGGAAAGTGCAACCCTGTAGCCTGTCTCGGCTGCGCAGTACACGTGGTCCCTCCATATTGGCAGCCCGTGCACGAGACCAAGTCTCACAAGGCGGCCCAGAAAGAAAGCCCGTTAGAACGCGTTCATGCATAGCCCTTGAGAAAAGGTCAAACGTGGTGGGCTGCAGGAGATTCCCCCATGTCAAGTCAAAAATTATGTCAACAGAAATGGCCATCGCATGCAAAGCTTCGACATGTTGCTGAAAGTCGCCTTTTCGGCGAGCTCCAGAGAACAAGTGGGCAAAAACCTTAGGAGAATACCTCACCGCTCTCGGGATCGGCACATGGAGCTCATGCATAAGCCCAGCCTCACGCTGAAAGAATTCATGAATAGTCTCGTCCGCAGCAACGGCAGTATCCACACCCGAGAGAAGCCATTCAGCTTCAGCCATTCGTCGGAATTGGCCAAAAATAGCAAGTGTTGACAGGGTAGTTGACTCACCCTGCTGTGCAACCCACACATCGAATGCATCATGGATCTCTTCCAGGTACAGAAAGGTTGTCGTTGTGACTAGTCGCAATCGCTCCAGAAGAGGCGTAGTAACCTCTTCTGATCGCAAGGCAGCAGTCCATTCGGCTTGGAGTCTCAAGACTTCAGTTGTCATTGCAGGAACATGACCCTGTGGTTCCTGGCATCTGGGTCCTGCAGCTTGCATGTGGGGGTGTCGTAGCAATGACTTCCGTCGGGTCTTTGCCCTGCTGTTGACAGCAGGTTCACACCTCACAATGAGTCCCCGATTCTGGTAGAAATCAAAGCAAGGACCTCCTCGCTTCACATGGTTAATGAGGTCAGAGTGTAGTTCATAGTGTTTCAGGCATCGTTCACATTGTTGCCCAGTCACATAGGCTCTGGCTTTGTTCACCCGCCCATGCTTTTTAAAGGCATGAACGGCCATATTCGCCTTTGTAGCAAAGGTCTTCTTGCAGCAAAGACAACAGAAAATCGTATTGTATTGGATCTTCGGACAAGGTGAGACAATCTGGTGCTCTAGGAGCCGATCTCGGATGTCTTGATGCCATAACATCCATTCGACATCGAGCTTCTGGACAGCAATGGCCCGAGCCTGAAGCTTGCGAATGGTTCTCTTCCATCTCATAGGGCTGGCCGTCACATAGTCAAACAACTGCAGCCAGTTCTGCTGGAGTGGAAAAAATTCACCAACTTCAGGACAGTAGCGCCAAAGGCACCTCATATCTTCAACGAGCTGTGCATGCCATGTGCGGTCTCTCTGCAAGAGTGCCCATAAGATCGGTTGCCCGGCAACGATCAACTGTCCCAAGTATCGGAGGCGTGCAACAAGCATAACGATGGCAGCCTCAGGAAGACCCAGCTTGTACAGAAGCCATTTTCGGCTCCAAGTCATAGCTGGCACTCCAAAATGTAGAACCGCAAATCGCTGGTACAGTCGATGGAAGGCTGAGTCCAACTGACCTCCTTGTTTCTTGTTGCGTGGGACCCAGACTGCCGCATTGTACGAAATGACACTGAGCACCAAGCTGTCAAAAAACTGCCTTTTCCGTACCAAGGTCATAGCTCGATTGGCAAAAATCTGTGAACGATATTTGGTCATTGCATCATGCGCAGTTGCAAACTTTACTTTGAGCTCCCTGGCAATCCCACCTCCAACTTGGATCCAGGTCCCCAAATGGCGGTAGGCGCCCACGACAGAAATACTGAAGGGGTCAACTGTGGAAGGAATCGTAAGCTTATGATCTTGGAAGGCCAGCTGTCTCCTGCATTGCAGAGCACCCTTCCCGCGAAGGTCCATCAAGATCTCACTCTTCCCTGGCTTGAGGTTAGGGCGAAGCCCCGCATTCTGCAGGCTGTCAAAAAGACAGGCAACAATGGATTCACATTTGTCCAGCAGCTCAGTCGGGCTCTGCGAGTCAAAGGCCAACGCGAGGTCATCAGCCCAGATCGGCATGACTGGATCCAGCAACACAGAAAGTTCACCTCCAGGGAAGGGGGTGGCAGCCCCGTTCCAGGCAACACGCACATCTGGGAATTCATTGGAGATTAACTCAATGGCAGGCCGGATAATCTTCACCAGAGCAAAGCTAAAGCAAAGGTCTGCAAAAGAATCACCCGGCCGACTGCCACGCCGAGTTTGGACCAACTGGGCATCATCACGCAGTTTAAACCACGTCGACTCAAAGAACTCACCAAAAATCGCCTGTAAGTGTGGCGACACGCCCGCTTCTTCAATCGCAGCCGGTCGCTCGAGGAGAGCACAGAATTCCTCGTAGCTTCCTTGAGGCAGACCAAGTTTCTCAAAGAGCTGCTGTAGTGACCGATGCTCACCTTGAACTTGCACTATGTGTTGTCGAAGGAGGCGATAAAATGCATTGGATATATCGACAAACACAATTGCACTGGATCTGCCTTCTCGAATCGCATGCAGCTGGTGGAGTCGCAGCGCATGTGCAGGCTGAGTCGTGCCCTGACCTGGAATGCCTCCCACCTGCAGCTGCATACGTTGGCTCTCAAATGAATGGACCAAGTCTTTGCGGTAGATTGAATGTAGGGCTTTACCCAAAACACTACTAACAAAAAGTGATCTGTAATTCTGGATCAATTTGGGACTGCCCTTTTTAAACACAGGGGTGAGAAACCCTCCTTTGAAGATCACCGGTTCCCGCATAAAAGCAATCTGCTTACAGAAAAGCGAGTAAAAAGTGTGGGCCAACACAGCCGGTGCTTTGTGGAGGAGCTCACCAGGAATTCCGTCCAGGAAAAAACGATTTCCCTGGCTTGGCTCGTCTAAACTGATGCTCGATTTGGTTCAGTGTCGGCAGAAAGTCCCATGGTGGGACAACAGTTTCCTGCGCCCATCGGCAATCTGATTGCGAAAGTAGAGCTTCTGCTGACGTATCAATGCCGTCTTCTTGCTCACCAAAGTACTCTCGCCAACATACAAGGAGCTCTTCATATGTGTCCACAGGTTGTCCTGCAGCATTCTGGATAAACGGTAAAGGTTGGATGCAACTAGGCTTTTTGGCGTTTCGGACCCCCAAAGCTTGCAGCGCTTGCGCAAACTCACGCTGGGACATCTGCGGCTCAGCTTTTGCCAGTTGCTCCAATGACTCAGTCCTATCAGCACGTAATTTCCTCTTCAACGTCTTGGTTGTCTCAGCAGATTGCTGTCGTGTTTGCTGTATACTCTTATACAGACGCAGACCTTGAAGAAAGAGTTCACGCAGATCAAGGACTCTCGTTCCTTTCCAGCAGTCCAGGGCCCAGCTCAGGCTGAGACAGTCCACCATATGCTTCTGCTTGATCGCCTCCCGACGCAGGCGCAATCTCATGGAACGAATTTGCCAAGCCGCTTCAGAGATATACGACTTTCGTGGCCCTTTTTTTGGGAGGAAATTCCTGACATAGTCGGTCATGGATCTGTCGCACCAATTTCATTGCATGCTGATCAATGCCTTCATGCCAAGCAGGGATCTGTACATCCCGAAGGACACCCTGGATCTGCTCCTTTGTCGCCTCTTGCAAAGAGCGGCGGTCAAAACCCTCCTTGCTCCGCACACGAACAGAAGTGCAGAACAGGATCTTGCAGTGCATTGTCAAAGGTAGGTGGTCAATGCCAGCTTTCCCTTCGTCAAGCGATGTCTTTACTTCAGTTTGGAAAAAAGATGTACTCCATGACTTTGGCACAGCAAAATAGTCACAGCGAGCCCCTTTATGAGCCGAGAAGCTCCACCAGGTCTGGTGACTGCCTCTGTGAATGTGCTCAAAAGTACTGGGTATGAACAAGTCAAAATCGAGCAGGAAGCGTCGGAAACAATCACCCCCATGATCAGTAGCATGCTCAAGCCCCGCATAGCCAATATGGCCATCGAGCTCCGTCGCAAAATGGGCATTCGCATCGGCTCCCACGATCAGATTCGGGAACTTCTGAACATAGGGCCTAACCAGCGAGGTCAAGGACTGCCAAAAGAGTTCAATGTCATGTCTTCCTCTTCCACTATGTGGAGCGTGGAAGGTGAGCAGGAGGAGGGTCACTCCCTGGAGTGTGGTCTTCAGAAGAAGACACTGTGCAGCAGCATGCAAGACTTGCGTCGTGGCTTTGTCAAATGCTGCATGTCCTGTCTTCCGTCTTTCTCTTGTTAGCCAAATCTCCACTCCTCCAACACCGTCTTTAGCAGCAGCCGTGTACCTGTAGTGGGTCGCCGAGATCACAAGCTGGTCATGCCTCGATCTTGTTTCTTGCAGGAACAGGATATCAAGACCGTGCGCCACAGCTTGTTCACGTAGGTATTGCACAAAAAGAGATCCACCTCTTGGACCCAACGTCATGACATTGTAGGTAGCCGCAAAGACACTCAACTGTTTCTGCTTCATCTTGTGATCTGGTGGTGTGACTAGGTTCTCAGGTAGGCGATCAATGGCGTCACCTCCAATGTGCACTCCAGGCAAATGCAACATCGCATTCTGCAGAAGCGGAGTCCCAGGAGCTAGATTGCAATAATACAACCAAAAACTCTCAATGGGAAAGCGATATCCGAACACAAAAGGGGCATAATCCGGTCGAGGTTGGTCTCGTAGCTCTTGTTGGCCAAGAAAGGCATTTTTGGCAAAAATGTCAGCCATTTCATTGCCGAGATTGCCAGAGTGCCCTTTCACATGTTCCCAAGAAAGGCGAGACGAATTGGCAGCAGATGTTTGGTATGCCTGTACAAGTGCTCGGAGAAGACGCAATTGGCGGTCAGATGGATTGATATTGTAATCACCATTGCCTGAATAACCCGCAAGCTGTGAATCAAAACGCAACTTGCAGGTGCATCGTTGCGGGTGTGCAAACAGCCATTCAATGGCTCGAATTAAAGCAGCCACCTCAGCAGACTTTGCATTAGAGGACTCCGCCCCCCGTCCATGTTGGATCCATCGGGTCAACTGAGACCAAACCCCAGTCATATCCAATGATGTATCTCTCAGGCCCTCGGTGCCCAAAGATCAGCAGCGACCAACCCGCCAATCTATCCTCAGTACCTGTCGAGAATGAACCATCAGTGAAAATCTCAAGATAGTCCACATGAGGTGGTAGGTCCAACAGCAATTCAGCAGCCTCAGCTTGTAGATCAGGTGAGAGCTGCTCAATGAATGGAGTCCATTGGATTTCAGCATCAACCCACTGTTGGCTGAGGCTATGATGAAGGGGGGGAGAAGTCTGGCATTTGGATCTCACGTCCGATAACCTTATCTGCGAGTGTCAGGATCTGTCCTCCTCGAGGTTGGCAAGGAAGCACAAAATCACTAAGGTGCAGGGAACAGGACGGGTAATCAAAAACTTGTATCCCAGAATCTACAACCCTCCAGTCATCTAGCTTCTGGAAGTCATGGCCCAACCAGTGAACCTGCAGTTCACCAGTATCAACCGGATTACCTGGTGGAGGTAAGCCGCAGGTTGGCTCCCGACAGAAGGCACTGCTCCCATGATCAATCCGAAACCTCCGAACACTCCGCTGAAGGAGTTGCAACTCTCCCTGTGGCAAAACATAGGGAACACAAGCAACTTCTTCAGGTGCATAGAACTCAAATCGACAGTAGGTTCCAGTGGGCATCGTAATCGATTCACCACTGGTATAGGTGCTGGGCCCCCTCGGCACCAGGCAACGCAGAACACAAATATCATCTTTGCAGAGTTCTCCTAATCCCAGAAATGTTGTGAGGTAGTCAAAGCTACAATACTCAGGGCAGGGCACAACCACATAAGATGAAGTTTGCTTAACTGGCCAGTTGAGGAGGAAGAACCTGAAGCCGCTGTGGAACAGATCATCTGACATCGCCATCATGTGCTTGAAGTTGCTTTCCGGAGGTTGTGCAGCAACAAGTACAAGTCTGGTGGGTTGTGGGATACCCATGTCAGACACTGCAATCTGAAACTGCTCATCCCATCGACCCTGATCCAAAACAACTTCCCGGAAGATCCCAGAAAGCGACGTCGTCGACAGAACCCCCCCAGCAAACAAAATGAAATGCAGCAATCATGTCCAGACTGCCCGGCATCGTCATCCTAATACCAATACGAACTTGGTCTCTCACAGGATTCGGTAACAGAAAGTTGCCATGCCAGGTGTGGACAGATCGTAGCGGCATCATGGGGTCAAGGTCAGTAGCTCTAGGGACTCGTCTCGTCGAGCAGCCGGCCAATTGCATCATCGACGGGTCGTCCATTTCCAGGATAGACTCCTCGACAAACTCCCCAGCACGCATGTCACATTGCTGAGTCTGGAGAAAATCAATAGTAATATCAATTTTCATCCCAGGGAAGGGCTTCCAGTGCATCCACCTCGGCAGTTCGTGGGAAAAATGTCTTACCACACAGTGGTACATCTGATGCGAACAAACTTCTTCAACACCGTACATCTGCAGAAGAGCCAGTGTCGTCGTTCGTAGTGGCAACCGCCTAGCCGACAGCTCAGGGGCCCGATCCCCTTCACGCACCCACAAGCTAACCATAACAGGGATTGCATCACACACAGGGTCCTCATCAACCAACAGGAAGAGATCGTCTTCTCCTTGTTGTTCATGAAGGCCAGGCCATGGCTTGACAGGAATCAAGGCTACTTTCGTATGGAACGGGATCACACTGCGAAGGTAGTCTCTGACAACTGTTGCAAAATCAAACCGCTCCAGCACAAAGTATTGATCAACCGCCAGTCCCCAATGGGTGATTTGCTCATCCTTTGTTGAATAGATGACAAAATCAGGCCATTGTTCTCTGGCAGCCAAGAAGGCCGTTGCCTCATGGGCAAAGTAGTCAAAACTATAGAATCTTGTCGTTCTTCTGGTGATGTCGACTTTCCGCCTCCATTCCAGAAACCGTCTGCGCTCTCTCTGTAGAGGTTCATCCCTCTCAAGCCAGGGCCGTGGGCCTCGGAGCCACTCATGTGCCCTGCCACTGACTTGGATCTGGAAGAGAAAAGAAAGATCATCCTCCGCCACCCTAGGGTAGTCACTTTCCCCGATCTCAGGTAGCAAAGGCGCCAAGATTGGACCTTCAAGTGGATCTCCAGTCAAGCCAGCAACAGGGGTATCCAGCGAAGAGGAAGCAGCCTGGCTCGCAGCAAGAGTACTCAAAGAAGGTAGCGATGGGTTCAATGAGGAAGCAGTTGTATCTTCTCCATGGTAGTGCCCAAGTGGTCCAACAACGATGCTCAGCCATTGCCCGGGTGCCCAAGGGATAAGGTCTCCCGGCCCAGCGAGCTCACCGGACAAGGCCACCTGATACTGCTGTGTCTCAGGCACGATCTGTGGTAGTCGCGACCTCCAGACGAGGCTGTTAATCGTGACCGCCTGTGTCACCACATGGATCTCCCTCCAGGTATCCTGAAGCTGGTGGATTTCAAGGAGAACAGGCAGCTCATGTCCGTACGCAGCCTGCAACAACACTGCAATACGGAGATCATGATAAGGCGCTGACTGGAGAGGAAAAATTCTGGCTTGTCCACGCCACAAGGTGCGGAGTTCTCGTTGAAGCCAAATAGGAAATCGGGCTGCATCACTCAGCGTTGTGTGTGTGAAGACAATTTGGTGCGTGGTCACATCAGCGCCTAAACCTTCAAAGACAAAAAGAGTGACTGGGGGGTCTGTCCCCAGCAAATCAGCTAGCCAAATGCGAAGATCTTCTACCTGCTGCGCCTGGCTCTGATAATGGGGAGCTTGTTCAATTGGTCCTCTCACAGAATATCCAGCGCAGAGACCTTCAGAGTCTGTCCGTCTGGTGGAGAGCGTAGTGGGCGGGTCAGACCCATCAACAGACTCCGGTCTTTGACCTTGCATCAGGGTCACAGAATCAGCCTCACTCTGGATCCCCGAAGGGGTAGCCGAATCCAGCAAGGAGTCAACCTCTGGCAGATCAACATATTCATCAGTCCAGCTCAAGGCAGCCGACTCAGCATCATCCTCAAAGGCCCCATCACATGTAGTCTCTCTGTCGTAGTCGTCACGTGCAGTTTCATAGATTTTGACGAAGGCACCTCTATGCAGTTGCACTTCTTCCCCGTACAGAAAGCGGTCATCCATATATACCAGGTGGCAATAGGATCCAAATTCACATTCATGGTGCGATAGGACCAGATCAAAAAGGTGTGCCACATTGACTGACAGGGAAGTCGTAGATAGCAGCACTGAAACTAGGTCATGCCTACCCCGTTCATGGACTTGACAAAGGACTGGTAGAGGATCTTCCACAACATCCCCAATCACAAGAACATGTGGCCGTGGAAGGACGAGAAAAACAGGAGGAGGGTCAACAGGAATCATGGTTAGGTGCTGTCTTGGGCCACAGTGTTGCCAGAAGCTTGCACACTGGTCTTCAATCTGCATAGGTCTGTCAAAACCACAGATAGCTGAAAACCGTTGAAGCATACTGTTGACACTGCAGTGGATCCAAAAGGTCACCGACCCCTTGGCAAACGTCCATCCTCTCACGTACTGTATCAGCACAGTGGAGTGACTAGTAGCCATTTGCATCATGCTCACCATGTCCCCAGTGTCATCTGTGTATGTAGGTGTAGCGCATGAGTCTGCTTTACCATAACTTCGGAAAAGGAGCTTGAAGCTGGTAGCATGTGGTTCCTCAATCACATCGAACAGATTCCATACTCGTTCACCTTCATATTGCGTCAGAAGGCAGCGATATTGCTCAGGGCCGCAAAGGTGCAGCAGCCCAAGTCTCAAGACCACGTCTCTGACCGTGTCACCGACAAAGGCCCGCACAGCAGCTCTGCGGGGCAGTCCCCGGAAAATGATGTCAATCAGGAAGATCCGCTCTTTTGCAGCTTGTTGTCGTCTTGTCAAACCAACAAGATGAAGTGAAGAGACCTTCAAGCTTAAAGGCGGTACTTCAGGATGGACCAGGGCAACCATGTATGGGCTCTCTTCCACCAAGTCCGACCATGCCAAGCCAAAGGCTCGAGCAAAGGATACATCCTTTACAAAAGCACAATCCCTAGGCGTAAGGAAGACCTCACTCGTCCCCATCCATGTAGTAATAGAATGGACAGGAAAGTGATGGAGCGGCCGCAATGTCAACAGATACACAGTAAGTGGATCATCATTCGCCTCCAGAGGGTCAACCTAAACCTGTCCATTCCTAGGCCAGGAAAGAGGATTAGCAATTGTAGCTGGTTGGAGTCCAAGCCTGGTATGCAGCTCTGGGTCTTCGGCCGCGAAGGCACTCTCCCACGGGAGCTGCATCCCAAAAAATCCATCTCCTTCACGTGAAGCATAGGACTGTCGGGTTATCTTCCAAGAAGCTGCAACCACTTCATCCGTACAGACATTTCGTGGCTCATAAAGCAGCGAAAAACTGGAGCCATGGTCTTCATCGACAACATCGCCAATGTCCCAAACTGGGTTCAGACCTCCTCTGTCTTGGAAGAGAAAGCATCGTTTGTCCTTGCATCGTTCACTGTATCCAATTCTCAAAATCAGTTGTCTCACATCTTCTTCTCCACTGCAGAGGAGCGCAACTGTACTGGGAATGGGGTCAGGCCACCCTGTAATCAGATACACACGATATCCAAGCCTCAATTTGGACAAAGGTGCACCAAGGACATTGAAAACCATGTCATCCTTCCAAGTCAATGCTCCACGAAGCTCCCGGGAGAATCCAACATCCTCACCATGGGTCACATCATACCATGTGTCCAACAGACATCGTGTCAACGAAAAATCCTGCGCTGGGACACAAAAACGTGGTACATATCCAAGTTGGTGTACATAAGTGACCACCCAGGATTGTACAGACCGGTGCAAAATCCACGAGCGGCCAGTCGTTTTGTAAACGTATTCAGCGAGCGCATCTTCATAGTGCAGAAGTGCATAGCTTGCCAAAACACCATCTTTGAAGAACCGCAGGGATTCATCGGTTTGCCCAATGAGAGTTGCAGTGTTCCCTCTCATCGAAAGAGAATTTTGCATCAGAGTTGTCAGTTCCTCCCTAATCAGGGCCTCAGGCTCTTCAAAGTGTCCAGGTCGAAATGAGTCTTCGGATGAAGAATCACCAAGAGTACCAGCATGATTCGAGCTGCAGGTCGAACTGCTGCTATCATCATGTAAGTCATGCTCATGAAGGGTAAGGAAGGCCCCTCGAAACAAGGGAACAATCTGCCCCCACCTGAAAATTTGGACACCATTCACCGTTTCCATGTGGACAGTGCATGCAGTCAGCCACACACACTGGTTCATCGGAATGGCTTGAACAAAGAGACCGTTGACATCAGGATAACCAAGAAAATAAAAAAGAAAGGTCGCTCTGAAACTCTCAGTGTCAGACACGTAGTCGAGCAAGGCTGGATAAATCGTGCTCACTTGGAAAGTGGTCAGGATAAAATGCGGATGTCTTTCCGGGATGCTCGGTGGCACCGGAATGACTGGATAAATGAAGCACTGTCGCCGCCCTACAAGATTTGCCCAAAAACTCCGGACTTGCGGTCCAGCAGGCAGCTCATGATTGTAATCTTCAAATCGGAAGCGTCGACTGGCACTCCCCCGGGCATCAAGGGGGTGGAACCAGACCATGATTCTGGCAGCACGATGATTGGGCACACTAACACGAATGTGTCTCGCAACAGCATCCTCAGCTGGCGGGCCAACTTGCATAAGGGACCCTATATCATCATCCAGGGCTCGCACCCCCACAGAATCAGTACCAAGGTCACTTCCAGGCAGAAGTAGCAGCTCCCCTTGCTCAAAGAGTAGTGGGCTGGACACAAGGTTCTCAGGACGAAACTCTCCCGGGAGCGATTTGCTCGCTTGGAGATCTCGCAAACCTCGGCTTCGTACTTGACGCAATAAACAGGCTTCATATGCACTAAGATAGCCATTCTGGCTACCATGCTTAGGGTTCATTCTGACCAGGGTCGCACGAAAATTGCTCTGCTCGGGACGGAAAACAAGGAAATGAGTGACCGATGGCCCAACAAGAAAATCAGAGGCAGGCGGCTGTGGGCGAACTATCGTATAGTCGCATAGCATCTGACAACGATCAGCCCACAAGTGATTAAAATCGTTCCTGTGGAGGACAAATGCTCCAGAATGATATCGCTTCTGTCTAGCTTCAGACTGACAGGGTAGTGCAGCAGCAAACCAGACAAGAGCAGTCCATGAGTCCTGTTGGTCAACAACGGAGTCATCATTCCAGGCCCAACCACTAAGCGCAATCGGAGTACTCAAATAGGTCATGTCCCCACTAGTATAGCTGGACACATGGTTGTCATGGTCAGCCCCAAAATGTGGGCAAAATCCTTGCACAGCTCCCGTATAGGTATGGTATCCAAACGGAGCACCAGGTAGGGTCTGGTTGCCACAAAATGGCACACATGGCAAAGAGTTCCAGTCATTTGTAGAATGGTTCCCTATACTCAAAACTGGGCAGGTCCGACCACTATCCTGGGAACCCAGTATCGCAAAAGTAGTATTGCAAGTGGCATCGACAGTAGTACTGGGGGAACTTTCATGTCGATTCTGTCTATCATCTGGCATCGATCCAGTCAAGTCCGCAAAGGAGACAGATCTGGTATCCGAAAAGATGCCAACAGCTTCTGAAGTGGCAAGATTCAACAGCAACAGGATTGCCACAGATTTGCGTCTTGTCAAGGTGCTACGTTTTTTCCTGCAGCATCTGACACGAGCCCGAAATTTGCAAGCAGCTGGAAACTTGGGGAAACTTTCTTCACGGAACCTGAGGTACCTGCAAAGCTCAAGAATTCCATAGATTACAAAAAGGGCTCGGAAAAGGCACTGGAGGATCTGCACACCTCCAAATGCTTCTTCATACATAGGGTCCTCAGCCGCACACTCCAGTAGACCACCTAAGCATAAACAGCAGAACCTAAGGAAATGCCTCAAACGCTCAGTGGCCTGGCTCGGCGGCCAAAAATAAATCTGCCGAATTGATGTTCTCCTCACGAGAAATTGCATGGAAAGGCTGCCAAATTCATCCAGACCAAAGGCTAGAAGGATTGCCAGCAGCAACACACAGATGGAAACTGAGACTGAAGAAACCAAGGAAAATAGGAGCCTGACCCCGACAAGGTGCCAGGACTTCTTGACTTCAGCGTATCCATCATCAGACGATTCATCATGGCAGGAAAGATCAAAAACCCCACTGATCTGGCTGCTCACAGAATCACCAAGTTCCCAAAATACGTGTCTCGCAGCATCAAACGACTGCTTATATCGGTATGAGCCTCTCACATTCAGTTCCCCAAAAAGCCTGAATAGGATCAGCTCAAACAAGTATAGCAATTGTCCATAGCCTCTGTCAAAGCAATGGCCAAAAACTATCGAGGACTCGAACAAAGTACACAAAATGATCAAGCTGCTGCCTTGAAAAATGGCGCACCCTTGGTCGTGCACTGCATGCCCTACGACATTCCCTCCATGTTGGCCAGTCTCCCTCCATCCGGGGTAGTGGAAGATCGGCCTCGGCTCAGACTCGGTGGTGTGTACGGCCCATCGCCAGCCTTCCTGGTTCGCGGTGGCAACTTCCCAAAGGGTTGCAAGACTGGGTGCGTCTCCACCGGCAAATGATCTGGCTTGCCGGTTTTCGATCCACTGTCCAGCTTGGGCACTTCTGTTTGCCCTGAGTCGGGTACACATGCCATCAGCATCCGATTGTGTGTGCTGACAATCAATTCCTGGACAGATGCCCAGCTCCTGTAGCTCTCCGGAGCCTCTTGAATCATCTGTAAGACCGCCATCTGGCATTCCTCTGGATATCGCATCAATTCTGTCTTCAATTGGGTCGATTCGTATTCGTTTGCCACCTTGGGGATCTTGGGCTGTCGATGTTCGGCTGTTGGACTCCTGGAACGGCCACGATGAAGCTCTTCCTTCACCTTCACTGTCCCAGGCTCTGCTGATTTCTCCATGCCAAGAACCAAGCCCAGAGTCTTTCGATTCTGTTTTACTTCTTGTTCTGGCGATGCAATAGGGGGACGGGCCGTCAGAGTCGATCCTTGTAGAGCCCCAACAAGTCCCATCATCTGCACCTGGAGCTGTTCCAAGATCATGGC